TTATTGACTAAAGCTAGATGACAGCAGGATGATGGCTGATTTTCACTTCAATCAACAACTTGTGATTATTACTTTAATTAGAATATAGAAATAGAAGGAACTAATGTTCAACTACCCAGAGAACACTGCATTTAAAAAGAAATGCTGTGCTCTAATTTACTGATCCTTACACTCAAAACTGATTCAGCGACTGTTTATTGTTGCTACTAACATTACATAAATATTTACACAGATCCTTAATAAGAAGTAAAGAAAGTGGGTGGAGAGAGGAAGTAAACATATGCAAAGATGAATACAGGTAGTCCAACCAATTGTTTAGTGACTGTTCGAAGTTATAACAGCACTTGAAAAAAAGTGACTTATGACCAATTTTCACACTTACAACTGTTGCAGCATCATGTGACTACCTTTTGCAACCTTCTGAAAAGCAAAGTCAATAGGGGAGCCAGATTCATTCAGAAACTGTACTACTAACTTAACAACTGCAGTGACTCATTTAACAACTGTGGCAAAAAAAGTAATAAAATGGGGCAAAACTCATTTAACAACTGGCTTGCTTAGCAATGGAAATTTTGAGCTCACTTGCGTTTGTAAGTCAAGGACTATTCTCTACTTAATTAAGTATAATGAAACCAAAGGTCTTCTAAGGAAAATGTTTTCTCCTCTTGTTTTCTAAAACGGACGGTCAACATTTCTACTTAATGAGATGATTCAGAGATGAAGTTCCCTGCTGGAAGATGAAACATGAACAAAATTTCAAGATTCATTGAAACGAATGAACAACTGAACAAACCTGAGTTCCTTTGTGAGTATATTCTAAGTTCAAAAAAATCCTATCAATTACTATTAAGAGTACTTGTTCTTACTGTTATAAATAAATAATATCTAATAATTACAATTTGTTATTAGTATTAGCACTAATAAACATTTAAGTTCATTAATTCATAAGTTCATTACTAGGAGCTGCCTATTTATTTATTTATGGCCCAGGACCAAATCACACAATTTAACAGAAAATTCAGAATGCCACACACACACATTAAATAAAAGGCAGAAACCCTGTAATGTTAATATTGCATAGATGGATCAAATAGCTTCTATCAGCTAAGGTTATAAATTAAAAAAATGCTACTGTCCTCAAAACATGTGGCTATTAGTCATTAAAAAAAGAATACCATAATCTTCTCATCATGAATGTACTTTTTCAGACTCAAAAGCAGGGGTCTTAGCTCTAGTAATTAATTAATTCGATATTTCATATTCCATCTTTATGCTTTTTCTAACACAGCTTATTAGGAAAGAGAATGGTAGGACAGGTATATACTGTATGTGCTACCTCTGAACATATTGAATGTTCCACTCAAGTTTTTTTTTTTACTGTTTGTAAGCATTACCATTGCTACATCAGTGCCTTCCCCCCATTAGAATTCCTTATTGTAATAACCAGCTACGGTAATTAGACATTTCATTATATTGTAGATCAAACATTCAACAATATCTGAAATAGTATTTACATATCTAGAATGTCATCCAAAGCCCCATGAGGGCTTCATTTTGATTCATTAGGAATCACGTCAAGAAACTAACCTGGTCCTTTACATCAGAAGAGAAGGAGGAAGCTATGTGTTTCAAGCCTCCCTTCTAGAAACATCCAGGCATAAAGGCCAGCAATTTCTGTCTAAACAAACAAGTTCATCAATAACAGGAATGAGCTAGAAATAAGTCTCCATTAATAATGGTCTCTTTTGGAAGAAATTGCCTTTTTTCTCTACCTTTTCCCTCCTTTCCCTTTCTTTGATCAATTTTGATTTTTTTAATATGAGATTTAAAATGGTTGCAAATATTTAGCAAATAAATACCACCAACTGTAATTTTGTTCACATGCTCTAGTAGCAAATTGATTTGAAATCTTTGTGATAGAGACATCTTTTTTGCTCATTGGCTTTGGTCTGTCATGAGTGAACAACGAGAGGAGTATTTGGAAAATGCCAGGTCAATGATCAACACAAGTCCAAATACAGCAATGGTACTAAAGCATTAAGCCAATATAGCCAGTTAGGAACCATAAGCAGTAATGGATAATAACATCAGCCAAGAAACAGATGAGCTAAATAAAATTTAGGTTGGGTGGCTGCACATAGAACCAAACCAAACTAAACCCAATCCAACCATTCCATATTTCTTGCAAGAAGTGGAAGCTAAGCTATTTTTCACCATTAATTTCAAAAGCAGTCAACTCTAATTCTAAGCCTTCAGTTCCATATTTGTATAACATAGTGTACATGACAATGTATACAATGTCATGCCATTTTTACAGAATGCACATTTCAGATGGCAGCATCCAAAATAAGCACAGTGTGTTGCAAATATTTGTGTGAAGGAAATTACCATTGAAGACAGTAGCCCAAAATTGCCTTTTGTTGTAATATTAACATGAACAAACAAGAGGCAGCTTCATTGACCTAATCACCAAACCAGCAACCTTTTACTGAATGGGCTTAACATGCTTTTCTCAAATTAATTTCTTCTGAGGGATAATTTCCTCTAGCATGAAACCAAGCCCTATTCTGTAATCTGAATAATTGCATTAAACCTTTGGACCACATTTTTAAAAAGTGAAAGTGTAGTTTACTGAAGATACAAACTAAGGTAGCTGCAGAAAATTAGTTCACTATTGCTGATAATTGCCATGCTTGTAAAATAAATGCAACATATTTTTGTACATACAATATACTGTTATTTACTAACTTCCAAATTTGATTTATTGCTAATTGCAAATCAGCAGACTTCAAACATGTTCAGAAATTAGTTCCACATCAGTTTATATTTTAAGACCACATTAATTTATAGAGAACAACTCATCATTTGATCTGTGGCTCCCCCCCCCCCAGTTTAAATTTACTCCACTTAGATCAGGAGCTTGTAACGTATTTCTACAGAAAAAAACCCAAATGTAGACCATCACAATTCAGCAGGCTTTTTGTTGTTTCTAACCTGCTAAATTTTGTAATTAGCATACACTAACTTTTATTCTATACCCTTTAACGCTGTAAGATACATTTTGTAAGAACTTTAGGTTCTTGTTCATTTGCAATGGCAATTCAGTAATAAATCCTAAATATATTTACTTAAGAATTGCTGACATCTGTAGAGCATATTTCAGATGCTTAATCTCATGCTCTTTTGAAAGCCTTTCCTGTCTTTTGAAATTTCAAAAGCCTTGGTGAGGAACAGCTATATTATTAACCTATGAAACATTTTTAAAATTTAATTTGGATATTTGGATATCGCTAAATTTAATTTGAAAAATCTGAGCCTTTCTTTTTAAATGTCTGCCTTACTGTTTTAATCGTTTAAATGCTAACAATCAGCTCTGAATCCAAAGCAGTATGAAAAAAGAATATTTGTGAAGGTACATACAAGTGCTTATGGGTGTTTTAAAAATGATGTTATATTGTTTTTAGTTTTCACATTACAAAAGTGACTTCTGTTACCGGGCAGATTAGAAATAGAATTAATTAATTATGCTGTACTTTGGTAGCAGCACATACTAGTCTTCGTTATGGACAAAAATGCACAAATTCATGCAACTCAATATATAAATTATTTGAGCAGTAATAATATTATTTAATGATTTAGTGTCATTCTTATTTATCAGTCTAATGAAAGTAGCTCTTATACATATGAGGAACATCTTACATGTGTGAATGGACTACTTTGGATTCAGTCTATAATCTGGTTACAATACTCCATTGTGAATTTTTGGAAGACATGGCCGAATAAAAATAAAATACATCAACTGGTAACTAAATAAATGTTTGAAAAGTCTACAAATAAAATGTATGAAGGTAAACAAGCATAATAGAACAGCAAGAAAAGTATACAGGCAAATGCAGATAATAATTAAAATCTAAATCATTTCATATAATACATTCAAATACAATGGTTAAATCCCCATTTCATTTAAACTATAGCAAGATCAATACAAATGAATGTACTTCTAAATTATTCTAAATGAAACCTCTCATTCAAAAAAAAACTGCAGTCCTACAGACTAGAAGCAAATTCCACTAGGATTATCATACCTGGGTTGCAAAACAACAACAAAAAAAAAGAGCAAAGACAAAATGACAGCAGAGAGATATCAAAAACACAAATTATTTACTACCATTTAACAGTCTTAGCAGAATGCTCGCAGCCCACATACAGTAAACCTACATGCTTCAGAACTTATTTGTTCAATGGAACTTACTTCTGGGTAAATATGAGTAGGGTTGCATTGCAAATAATTACGATCATCACAAAATTCACTGGTCGTTTCATCTATTTATTATGTCAGGATTTTTTTTTACTCTCTCATCTCCTAATCCCCCAATACTACACTACATACAGTACTGCTGCATTAAATAATTACATTCTGAAGAATTTAGGTTTACCATTAGGATTATCTTTGATTCATCTTTCAGTCATAACAAGCCTGAATATTTCAGGGTTTAATAGGTCCCATATTGGCACAGATGACAAACTTGGGACTGTGTGTAAAAGCCTTGGAAAGTGCCACAGACTCTTTAATATGTCATCTTATCAACATCATGATAATCGGTAATTGAGTTTAAAGATGCTTAGAGTAAAACACATATCCACCATCCACCAAAAATTAAAAATAAAATAAATAAAATATAGGGACACTAATTACAAATAATAAATGAATCCATTAAAAAGAAAACAAACTCAAAGGGCAGAATCAATAGGCCACCAGGTCAGTTTTCTACGTTTCTATGTTTTTATCTAAAAGCTACAGAAGACTCTTTTTTCCTCCTAATATGGATGGCTTTCTATAATCTCTATGTATGTTTTATGTATGCATGTTACTGATTCTTTGACATCAGGGTATATTATTTACTACACATACTAAAAATCAATATTCCTCTTCTCTGACATTTCTTAAAGGCACACAATGAAGCACAAATCTTAACATAAGATCATGTCTATAACCATACCTCATTATCATTCTTGCTTAACCACTCCTTGATTGTGGTAAGTGCAATGACTGCAGCTGGCTCATTTGGAAAACCTAAGATCAGAAAGAAAATCAGTTATGTATATGCATACCTGTATATATCTTTATATATAACTGTATAACGTGTTATGATATATGTTCATTCATATTAGAGTCAGCACTCTTTTCTTAATTGATACTAAATTAGTAGCATTACCTGCTGTTTAGACACCACATTTATATATCCTATTTATATGTACTACCTTTATTTTTGTTAAAAAGTCTGTGGATGAATTAAATGCATTTAGTAGTCAAAATGGGTGTGATCCTAGGGACATAGAAGAAGAGAAAAACAAAAAAAAAAAGAAAAGAAAAAATTAAGAAGATAGTACTCTTCTTAACTGGCCATGACAAGCAACCTTTCTGTTTTATTTATCTTTGTCTTCAAGAAAAGAAATCAAGGAGGATAAACCTTTAATTCCCCCCTTGTTGCCATTTGAAAAGTTGACAGATATGATTAAAAGATTTGCAAGAGGAATTATTTTAGTGGGGATCCACATAACTGAATCCATGCAAATACTATTTTAAGAACTATATATTTTAAAAACAGCAAATCTAATATACCCACCATATATACTCCAGGTAAGTTTCTAATCCCTTCAGCAAAGTTTTCCCTGTCTTGATCCCCTGCCTTATTTTTTTATGCCTGTCTGATGATGAACGATATTGAATAGTATGTACTCCGAGAGTACCTAGACTGTATTTCAGTTGACTCAAATCTGTGGTTGTTTATGCACTGGCTCTTTTCAAAACAAACATTTTTTTTTTCCTTTGGAAGGATGATTCACCTTGAAAATGTTAATATTTATACTACAGTGCCCTAGCTGAAAGCTATGATAAAACAGCACATGCACATATCAAAATTCATATAGGTTGTTTATTCAGCTACATAGGAGCAATCTATAAAAAACTTTACAAATGTCAAAAGTCCGATAAGAAAAGCTCCTTCCTTCCTTCCTCCCTCCCTCCCTTCCTTCCTTCCTTTGAAGGAAGAGCCGAGGTGGCGCAGTGGTTAGAGTGCAGTACTGCAAGCTACTTCAGCTGACTGCTAGCTGCAGTTCATTAGATCGAATCTCACCGGCTCAAGGTTGACTCATCCTTCCATCCTTCCAAGGTGGGTAAAAATGAGGACCCAGATTGTTGTGGGGCAATATGCTGACTCTGCAAACCACTTAGAGAGGGCTGTAAAGCACTATGAAGCAGTATATAAGTCTAAGTGCTATTGCTATTGCTATTGCTATTGCTATTGCTGTTGCTATCGCTATCGCTATCGCTATCGCTATTCCTTCCTTCCTTCCTCCCTCCCTCCCTTCCTTTCCTTCCTTCCTTCCAATATACAATATATGTACTGTATGTGTATACACACACATAGAGAGAATGAGAGTCAGAGACAGGGAAAATATTCAAAGGCAGCACTAAGTTAATAGTTCCTATTTTCTTCCTATGTTCCTTTCATTTTCAAGAGCGAGTAGGAAAATTGTCTTGATCTGTATTCAGAATTAACTGTACAGTACAGTTTGGGAACGTGGCTCAAGTGCTTCTCAAAGGCGCTAGCTTACCTTTCAATGAGTACTTTGTGCAATAGCAACAAAATCACTTGAAAAGAAAGTCTAATTGAACGGCGCAGCAGTGCAAAAATGGAGAGAGAAATCTTGCCTAATAAGAGCAGCTGGAGAACTTTCTACACCAATAGGTTGTGGTCCTTCAGTTTTTTAACAGTATCGATCCTATTGCCACATATCAAAGATTTATGCATTGTATACAACTTCCTACTCTGCTGCAATAATGTCTTAAAAGATCCTATGCTAACAATCTCATTCATACATGCACACACACTCATATTCAGATACATATACTGTACATACATATATACATTCTGTACATATATATATATATATACATAAAGCCAAACAGCTTTGACATTTCGAATATTCCTGATCTATTAAAACTGGATCAATATCTTAAAAATAGGAGGAGGTCGCAGAAAGGATAAAGCATGCAAGAGCCTAGTACAGACAATTGTGGAAGGTTCTGTTCAGGATATTAGTTATGCGATTAAAACTACACGGCCAGTTTGCCAACTATTTTCACGGATTTTTATTTTTGAGCCGCGTTATCACTTACAATGATATGGGACTGTTCTTTTCCACTATGGCTTTCAGCAAAAAAGCAATCTTCATAAGCATGTGGGAATCAATTTAGTTGAGTGAAATGAACTTGAGGAGTCTCACAGGTAACCAATTGTTAAGGGGAAGCAGCTCAGACAATTCTGGCTAAGGGCTCAATTTTGGGGAAAAAAATAAAACAGGTAAATGTAATAAGAGAGACCCTAGCTTAGTTGCTGCAGCAAGTATGCCTTTAGAATACTAAAAAGGAGGAAAGCACAAAGAGTCAAGAGAGCATTAGCCAGAAGACAGAGACAAGTGACACACCAATTTAAAGGAGATCCATCTGACAAAGTCGATGTTATTTACACCCACATATCTACTTTCTTTCAGGAATCTGGCCTTCCAATTTTAAGCTGAGCCCATTCTCTCCTTCCAAAGCCAAGTAATAACTTTCATTAGAGGAGCCAATATATCATCAAAGATCCTAGCCAAATCCATCAATAGACAGATGCCAGAAGGCCATTTTCCCATTTGCTATAAAAATGGGGATTGCACCTCCTGGCTTTGTCTTCAGCTGCACATGTTCATGGAGTTATCTGCCCTGCAAAATTTCATATATATGCAAGCCATGCCCTGAAAATATGAAAGACAAGGATCATAAAATGGCTCCTGTGAACAAAACACATTGGTGCATGAAAACTGAGTGGAGCCAACAGCCATGGTCATCCTTGCTGTATCTTAACCCATATCATACAATCATTTCTACTGTTAACAAAAACATAATCTGCAAAAAATGATAAGGCCACCAAACTGCTTTCCATGGTCAGATATTGTGCGTCTGGATTGTAAAATGCAAACGTAAGTTTTTAGCAGGAATTTCTAAAATGAAAAAATGATGACAATAACTTGCTTTCTTTTTTTAAAAAAAATAAAACACCACATTTTCATAGAATGTAAAAAAATGCCACCGCCTTGTTTTATTGATTTTCAGGTTGCATGGAAAAACTGGAGTTCTATATTCTCATAGATATCTGCTGACCAATAAAACCTGAGTGAAAATTTTTGCTTGTTTTATCAGTTAATATGACACCCCATCCTCTTCACCCACCCTCAAAACCCCTTTAACAGATATTCAAGTACTCTATGACTCACATTTCACAAGATGTACTTCAGGAAAATGGAAACAGGCTATTTCTGCAAGTATAGGAGATTAAATGGAAAATTGCCAGGAAAGAAATTCACTCCAGTGCAATTTAATGACCACACAATGGAAGAATAGCATTCTTTGGCAAGTTTAACTGTGAAATCTAGTGTTGCCTAAAAGCCGATCTACAGCAGTAAACAGGTATGGATTGGTATTTGCTAACATAATCCATCCGGTGAATCTCTTCTGTTTTTCTTCATACTTTGTTGCTGTTTCTAAAAACATCTCACTGACCTTAATATAATTGTTTACATGTCTTTATGTGCTACACAATATTTTGTTTTCAGAGCAATTCATACTGTAAAATGAATGCACATCAGCAAACATTCATCTAGGTCTCAGTTAATCAGAAATATGACTAAATTAGATAATTTCTCTATGAAATTATGATGGCTGGAAAACTGTCTAGCAATAGTTCCCTTTCCCTTTCCTTTTTTATAAATAACCAAATAGGAAAGATTGCAATTTTGAAGAAATATTTAAAACTAGAAATTTAATCATTGGTTCTTTTAACACATGTGCAGAATTGAAACATGAAAAATAGAAAAATGCACTTTCAGGCTGCCAATAATATTCATGCTTGTCATAACTGAAGGACATGATCATTATTGGAATGCTGAAATCAAGCCGCCCTTGATGTAATGTGGAAAACAGAAGATTTTCTTTCTCCAAGTTCATTTGAAGAAAAAGCTTGACAGTGAACATAAATCTTTTCTAACTAATGTTACTAGCAATGGAGGTATATTCAGAAAACCCTTGAACAACTGTAGGACTCAAGCCTTGAATGTGATGTTTTGATAATTGCATCACAATCTATGTTGAGGTATAGAAAGATATATAAAAAATCAGGATGATGCATTTTAGGCAGAATTCAGCGTAGACGGGCCTAGAAAACTGTAAATAATTATTGAATATGATATATACAGTACTATAGGGACTTCACCCAGTAAAATCAATACTCAAGCATCAGTAAAACTAATATTCAAGAAACACTGGAAATGTGTAACCCCGACCTCATAATTTAAAAAAGTGTTCCACTGGAGGTGCATTTGGCAAAAGGGAGGAGGTAGGAAGGCTTTGCTCTAGTCATTTGAATTATTGTTTTTATTAGCATTGATTTAGTACACACTTAATCTGTATAGTGCATCAACTGGAATATTGAACGTCAACAATCTTCCAGAAACTGCCATAATTCACTCTTACAAACATGTCGCTGTTTAATCTTAGGTATATTAGCATAGCCGAGTGCTAATGTTTACTATACCAAAGTTCCTAAGTGATGTTCCCAAGATCTGCCAGGTGGGTGGTGAAATACGTTTATATGAAATCAGTGAATGAAATAGAATTATTAGATTTTGATAAGTTCTTTGTGGAAAAAAAAATTCTCATCTCTCTGCTGCACCATTCTGTACATATTACTGCTTCTCAATACTGAGACCACCATGTTGTATCTGCCTAGCTGCTTGACAAGCCATGAGGGTAAGACAGCTATCAATAATTATGTCCCTAAGGAAAAAAAAATAATATTAAGGAGACAGCTGATATGTTGATGGCATTTATACAACACACTAAGATGCATCGTGGTAGAACTAAATCTATCATCTCTATTCAGTCCATGGATCAGATCTTAACCATAATAAGACCTGAAGACTTGGCTGTTCAAACAAATAGGCTGACTCTGACTCCAGGCTTTATTATTTATT